CAGCAGGCCAGCCTGGGAAGGGCTGGCCTCCAGCTAGTTCGAATTAAGTGGCTACACAGCCCTTAATTCAAACTACTTATTCAAACTAGGCATTAGTCCTCCTTGAATGAGGTTTACCAAGTTTGAATTAAGCGCTCTGCTAGTTCGAATTAAACGTGAAATAGTGATTTGCATGTATAGCCGCTATTAAAGTTAATTTGAACTAACGGTTGTTAGTTCGAATTAACTTTGTAGTGTAGACATACCCTACGAGAATACTGGTCAGTGGGATAGGCTATGGTCTCAGCCAGGCTTGGGCAATAAGAAAACGTTGGTCTGCCAAGGTTATCCCAGGTGGGCCACCGCTGCTATATTTACCTGCACCTCCACAAGTATTGGGTGATCGCATCTCTCATAGGCCAAGGATCACCTTTTGCAGCCAATTGGAGCAACAAGAAGTGGCATTTACTGGGACAACATTTCCTGTAGTTCCATTTGGCTGCCAATGGCAATCTGTGATCAATAAGAACTGTGATCATCAATACTTGCAGAGGCATAGGTAAATATAGAGTGGAGGTCTGCCAGGGGCTAACCCTGTGGACTGGATCCAGCCTGTGGGGCAGAAATTTGCCCACCCAGAGTCTAAGCACAATGTTCAAGTGTTTGTAGACAATATAATGATAGAACCTCAGTTCGATGAACACCTGAGCTGTGAACTGACCAGTCAGCTACACACCTCATTTACTGGAAATATATACTCATACAACAGCAGAGACAAAAAACAAACAAGCAAACATTGGGCAAATACAGTACTGTGTTAAACATAAACTATTAAAAATAAAGTGAAAGTTTTAAGAAAAGATTTGACAAGGTAAGGAAACTGTTTCTGTGCTTCTTTCAATTAAATTAAGAAGGTTAAAAGCAGCATTTTTCTTCTGCAAATGGAAGTTTCAGAGCTGTATTAAGTCAACATCCAGCTGCAAACTTTTGAAAGACCAGGCATAATGTTTTGTTCAGCGTTACGAACATGTCAGAGTTATAAACAGCCTCCGTTCCCGAGGTGCTCATAACTCTCAGGTTCTACTGTCATGCGTTGGTTTTATGGATGTTGCTGGGAAGTGCCTCCCAAGCATCAGGGACAGCATGGGAGAGAGCATGAAGCTTGTTTGAAAACATTACACGTGCCTAATAGAAGTTGGCAGACTGGAGATGGGAACTGGCCTTTCGATACTGAAAGAGAGATGCTAGGTAGGGTGGCAGTAGATTTCAAAGAGCCTTCAATATAAAGGCAAGCCATTTGTTAGGTGTGCTAGAGAAGGGAGAGCCAGTAGAGGATGCAAACAGATAGCTGAGGATGTTGAAGTGACTTGCTAGGGGAATAGCCTTTGCAGGATCATTTTGGATGGGGCATGATAACATGATGGCATTTGTCAAGAGCAAAAATAGGATGTTGCAGATGTGAAAGGTGAGGTGATGAGAGGCTGAAAAAAGAGTTTTAGTTGTATGGAATGACAAGAGAAGACACTGTGTCTTGGCGATGTTATGAAGAAAGAAACTGCAAAATTTTGACATCGGGTGGACATGAGAACTTTGAGAAAGGTCTGAGTTGAAGATGCCATTCAGGTTATGGTTATGGGCTTAAGGGTACATCTACTATGTAGCGTGCTTCCCAGTGCAGCTACATAGATTCACTATCTCTTCTCATGTTAGTGCACTAAAGATTGCAGTGTAGCTGGGGGTAGCACAGGCGGCAATCCAGGCTACATGCCTTAGTACAAGGGATGGGCAATGCAAGCTATTGAGTTGGCTGCATAAGTGGCCTTCCTTCATCTTGGTGGGCTGCAAGATTGTCATAATCAGGATTGTCTCCCAGGATAGGGTAGTTTTGCTAAACTATTCTTACGTACCTAGAATGTGTGAAATGTGAGGATTGAACCATAGCAGCACTTCGATTGGCTGCAGAGGGAGCGCATGACTCTCACAGTCAATGTTGTCTGCAATCAGCACGCACTTCACTTCATGTGCCCGTGCTTTATGTGAACATCACAGGTTAAAATTACAGAAGTTCCCTTGGGGTTCTCCCCGGTGTGCTGATCATACCACTGAAACCCACCTTTCTGCTCTGTGGGCTCCCTACCACTCTGTTCTGCTAGCTCACATCCTCTGGTTTCCCCATCCAAGGCACAATGTTGAAGTAACAACATTACTACATTAATACTATGTGGCATGGTCACATGCCTTTCTAGGACCAACCACTGTTAGGGCTTACAGGACAAACAAGACTATCCAGAGGTCATTGATTTGGTCACTGAACCATTATGTTTCGGGGGAGAGGGTGGGGAGTATCAGTAATGACCCTCATTAGCACATTTAGAATTATAAACAGATTCACACTTTATATTTCTAACTTCACATAAGAATGATACGTTCCCAAAAATAGGCTAGAAAGATCCAGCAGATTGTAAATATAAAATTGACATGTTGCATGACATGTTTTGCATAAAGCACCTTTGAGTTATGCATATTCATATTCATAAGCCAATTTTCATAAAGCATGGGGGGCATGACAGTCACTTCAGTAATAACGGCAGAAAAAAAACCTATGCAGATGGTAACCAGCGGAATCTGGCAAGAGTAAACAAAACATCTTATGTGCTACACATAGAACCCAGATGGGCCGCAGATTGTCCACCACTGTTTAGTACATACCAAGAGATCCTGGTCAGTGTGTACTTAAGCAGCTAGCCTTAGCTGCCATCCATGTGATCCTGGCTACACATCTGTTTCTAATGAGCTAGCATGTGTCTGTACCCATGCTGGGAAGCATGTTTCCAGCTGCAGCATAGACATAGCTGGAGTGACAGGCAGGAATATACTGTTGAAAGACAGTAGCTGGCAGGATTTGGGAGGGGGAGATTAAGAACTGGTTTAGCTATGGTGAGCTTGATTTGACAGCTACATGTCCACAAGGAGATATCAGAGAGAGGCCGAGATTTTAGCTCACTGCTTATCAAAAATATATCTAATGAGATCTTATAATATTTTGTAGGGCCTTTTTGAATGAAAAATAAAAAAAAGTGAAACTTGGATTTTCCCAAGTCACAGCTCGCTGTTTATTGTGATTTCTCTTTTATGGACCTCAAACAGGTTAGATTTATTTTCAGAATATATGGCTTGATTCTGCCCTTACTGAAGCTATTGGTAAAGTGCCCATGAGCATAATTGGGGCAGTATCAGGCATATGTCCATTAACTGAACTTCTCGTATGGTCAGTGTGGCAAAATAAAATAAAAAAGGCTCTGGGATCCTGGAGCATTGAACTGGACAATGTGTGATGCTAGTTATTGGTGATTGTGCAGGTCAATGCACCTGATGTATGTGTCCAACAAAAACATCTTGGCTGTTAGAATTAGAAGGAGGCAATTGGGATTCAAAAGAAATGGGTCAGGATTGTGAATCAGGATTGGTGGATTCTCTTCCCAGCTCTGTTGCCGACTTGTTTTCTGATCTTGGACAAATCACTTAATAGCTTTTTGGCTTTGTGTCTCAGTTTGCCCATCAGTTGAGCTGGGATGCTGCCGCTGCTTATCTAACTTTGTGGAATGCTTTGAGATATATGGATTAAAAATGATCCAGTATCTCTCTCTCTCTCTCCCTTTGTCTCTTTTCTATTTTTTTTGTTTGTTTGTAGATGGAAAATTGGCCACAGCATCAGTTTTCTCTTCCTAAGAGTGACATGATTGCTGTGGTTTTCTTGCCAAGACCTCTGAAGTGCCTTTCCTCCATTGGGTAAATGCTCTGAGAGATTTGGATTTCCCCATTTTATGTCCTTCTTTTTCAAAGGCTTTTTGCCATCATAATTTTCCTTGCAGCAAGACATCTGGACGTGGCTCCTGTAAGAGCCTTTAAGAGCCTCTTGATAAAGGGGTCTCTAGCAAAAGGAATACCGAATTCTCTCTCTGCAGCTAGTAAGGGAAGACGTGGAAAGCAGAAAAGCTCAGAGACAGATGAATTTCATCTGTCAGGTATCAAACACAGTATTGTCTTTGCAGGATTATCATTTGCATTCTATGCTGCCAAACCCTTTTGGGTTAGCTGGGATAGAGTCACCTACTCTTGTGAGACTGTTGAATGGCAGGGATTCATCTCTGGAACATTCTCTCTGAGGGGGAAGTTTGTTCCTACTGCGTTTGCACAGCACCTGGCCCAGTGGGATGCAGGTCCATGGTGGGGCTTTTAGATGCCCCACAGTGCACATGATAATTAACATATAAGAGACATCTGCATATAAGAGACATTCAGTGAAAACATGTACAAGGATTTTGAGTGTGATTTTCAGGAGAACCTAAGGGGTTAGACACCCAGATCCCAGACTTTATTATAATAAAGTAGAGTGGGCTACATGAAAGCTCACTACAGTGAAGGAATAAATGGCCTTTGTTACATCAGGCCGGAACTTGGGAGCTGGAATGACTGAAATGAGTTCAGGAGGCAGCCTCTTCTTTTATTTCTGATCCAAGATGCCTTCAGAGTGGAAAGCCTGGTTTTCCATCCTATTTTCTCACCACTCTGAGGATTAATGGAGGTGCTACAAAAATCATGAGGTAGGAACTCACAATGGTGTGGAGAGGGATTTACAGTCAGATTCTAGGAAGAATACAGTAAATCCTTTCATAGTTGACCACTCAAAAGACCAACAAAAATTGGTTGCTTAATAGAGGTAGGCCCTCTAGGTGGATTAGAATTATACCCAGGGATACTTTTTGGCAGTTGCTGAACAAGGGGGGAGAGGTGTAGTGTACAGATTCCTCTGTAATTAAAAGGAAAATGTGAAACAATTTAATTGAGATTGGAATATTAGAAGCTGAAAGCACAGTATTCCTCTCTTACTGATCATCAGTTAGGACCTGTAACAAACCATTGCATTTTAAAAATGGAACAATAAAAAAGCTGCTGTAATTTAAAAGCAGCCAATTTGCTATGAGTACAGTTTGCAGCTCCGTCACTTACTAATCAGTCTGTTAAACATAATAGCCATTCTTGTCTTGAGGCAGTTAATCATGTTGTGAATGCACTTATCAGCACATATTAGAAATACAATACAAGACTTTCCGACAGAGGAAGGGATGCAATTACTGCAATCAGTATACATTTAGCTACTGTCTTATCATGCTGTTTTTTTTAAACTAGCCCAAAAGAGTTGGAATTTTCTTAGTAAATACAAGTAATGTACTTGAAAGTACCAGTAGTAATACCAAAAGGTTGATCATGCTGATACAAATGAAGTCAGCAAAGGTGTTTGAGATAACCCTCTTGGTATAAATGAGAAAGGGCTGGTAGCAGAGTATTCTTTATCAGACTCTCAGCTTTGAAATCTGATAATCTTCAGGGTTTGATGCTGTGCTCAGCTTTCCCTATGCCCCTCACACTCCGAGTCATTTGAACATTTCAGTTCCAGAGATGGTGAATTGTTTGAGTAAGAGGTATGTTAGTTGTTGGTGGAAATCTTAAACTGCTGCATTTATGAGGCAAAAGATGATTAAAGTGGATGCATGCTTTATTTTTAGCACGTCCGTAAAACTATCTAAGGGTGTGTCTACACTGCACCATTATTTTGAGATAACTAGCGTTAATTTCAAAACAACAATGCGAATGTTTACACAGCCATTCCATGATTTTGAAATAATTTTGAAATAACGGACGGCTTATTCCCGAATCTGTAAACCTCATTCTATGAGACATAATGCCTATTCTGAAATAGCTATTTTGAAATAAGGCCTGAGTAGACGCTCCATTACTGCTATTTTGAAATAGCCCCTCACCAGGGCCATTCCAAGTTATTCCTCCCCAGTGCCTACTGGGGCTCTAAATAGAGATAGCACATTAGGGAAGACTACCTCAGACTAATTTTGAGACTTCTTTACAGAGTAAATGTGCTATTTTGAAATAAGCTATTTCTGGAATAAAAGCTTCAGCGAGGTAGCCGAGTTAGTCGGTAACAGGAAAGACTTAAAAAACAACAAATAGTCTAGTAGCACCTTAAAGACTAACAAAATATGTAGGTGATATCATGACCTTTTGTGGGCCCAAACCAATTCTTCAGATAACAGGAGTATTAGAAGTCCAGATCCAAGAATAAATAAAGGAAGGTTTGAACCATCTACTCGTCTCTTTTTTTCCTCCTCTCCTTTTTTCTCTCCCCTGCCGCTTCCCTTATTTATTCTTGGATCTGGACTTCTAATACTCCTGTTATCTGAAGAATTGGTTTGGGCCCACAAAAGGTCATGATATCACCTACATATTTTGTTAGTCTTTAAGGTGCTACTAGACTATTTGTTGTTTTTTAAGTCTTTCCTGTTACCGACTAACTCGGCTACCTCGCTGAAGCTTTTATTCCAGAAATAGCTTATTTCAAAATAGCACATTTACTCTGTAAAGAAGTCTCAAAATTAGTCTGAGGTAGTCTTCCCTAATGTGCTATCTCTATTTAGAGCCCCAGTAGGCACTGGGGAGGAATAACTTGGAATGGCCCTGGTGAGGGGCTATTTCAAAATAGCAGTAATGGAGCGTCTACTCAGGCCTTATTTCAAAATAGCTATTTCAGAATAGGCATTATGTCTCATAGAATGAGGTTTACAGATTCGGGAATAAGCCGTCCGTTATTTCAAAATTATTTCAAAATCATGGAATGGCTGTGTAAACATTCGCATTGTTGTTTTGAAATTAACGCTAGTTATCTCAAAATAATGGTGCAGTGTAGACACACCCTTAGATAGTTTTACGGACGTGCTAAAAATAAAGCATGCATCCACTTTAATCATCTTTTGCCTCATAAATGCAGCAGTTTAAGATTTCCACCAACAACTAACATACCTCTTACTCAAACAATTCACCATCTCTGGAACTGAAATGTTCAAATGACTCGGAGTGTGAGGGGCATAGGGAAAGCTGAGCACAGCATCAAACCCTGAAGATTATCAGATTTCAAAGCTGAGAGTCTGATAAAGAATACTCTGCTACCAGCCCTTTCTCATTTATACCAAGAGGGTTATCTCAAACACCTTTGCTGACTTCATTTGTATCAGCATGATCAACCTTTTGGTATTACTACTGGTACTTTCAAGTACATTACTTGTATTTACTAAGAAAATTCCAACTCTTTTGGGCTAGTTTAAAAAAAACAGCATGATAAGACAGTAGCTAAATGTATACTGATTGCAGTAATTGCATCCCTTCCTCTGTCGGAAAGTCTTGTATTGTATTTCTAATATGTGCTGATAAGTGCATTCACAACATGATTAACTGCCTCAAGACAAGAATGGCTATTATGTTTAACAGACTGATTAGTAAGTGACGGAGCTGCAAACTGTACTCATAGCAAATTGGCTGCTTTTAAATTACAGCAGCTTTTTTATTGTTCCATTTTTAAAATGCAATGGTTTGTTACAGGTCCTAACTGATGATCAGTAAGAGAGGAATACTGTGCTTTCAGCTTCTAATATTCCAATCTCAATTAAATTGTTTCACATTTTCCTTTTAATTACAGAGGAATCTGTACACTACACCTCTCCCCCCTTGTTCAGCAACTGCCAAAAAGTATCCCTGGGTATAATTCTAATCCACCTAGAGGGCCTACCTCTATTAAGCAACCAATTTTTGTTGGTCTTTTGAGTGGTCAACTATGAAAGGATTTACTGTATTCTTCCTAGAATCTGACTGTAAATCCCTCTCCACACCATTGTGAGTTCCTACCTCATGATTTTTGTAGCACCTCCATTAATCCTCAGAGTGGTGAGAAAATAGGATGGAAAACCAGGCTTTCCACTCTGAAGGCATCTTGGATCAGAAATAAAAGAAGAGGCTGCCTCCTGAACTCATTTCAGTCATTCCAGCTCCCAAGTTCCGGCCTGATGTAACAAAGGCCATTTATTCCTTCACTGTAGTGAGCTTTCATGTAGCCCACTCTACTTTATTATAATAAAGTCTGGGATCTGGGTGTCTAACCCCTTAGGTTCTCCTGAAAATCACACTCAAAATCCTTGTACATGTTTTCACTGAATGTCTCTTATATGCAGATGTCTCTTATATGTTAATTATCATGTGCACTGTGGGGCATCTAAAAGCCCCACCATGGACCTGCATCCCACTGGGCCAGGTGCTGTGCAAACGCAGTAGGAACAAACTTCCCCCTCAGAGAGAATGTTCCAGAGATGAATCCCTGCCATTCAACAGTCTCACAAGAGTAGGTGACTCTATCCCAGCTAACCCAAAAGGGTTTGGCAGCATAGAATGCAAATGATAATCCTGCAAAGACAATACTGTGTTTGATACCTGACAGATGAAATTCATCTGTCTCTGAGCTTTTCTGCTTTCCACGTCTTCCCTTACTAGCTGCAGAGAGAGAATTCGGTATTCCTTTTGCTAGAGACCCCTTTATCAAGAGGCTCTTAAAGGCTCTTACAGGAGCCACGTCCAGATGTCTTGCTGCAAGGAAAATTATGATGGCAAAAAGCCTTTGAAAAAGAAGGACATAAAATGGGGAAATCCAAATCTCTCAGAGCATTTACCCAATGGAGGAAAGGCACTTCAGAGGTCTTGGCAAGAAAACCACAGCAATCATGTCACTCTTAGGAAGAGAAAACTGATGCTGTGGCCAATTTTCCATCTACAAACAAACAAAAAAAATAGAAAAGAGACAAAGGGAGAGAGAGAGAGAGATACTGGATCATTTTTAATCCATATATCTCAAAGCATTCCACAAAGTTAGATAAGCAGCGGCAGCATCCCAGCTCAACTGATGGGCAAACTGAGACACAAAGCCAAAAAGCTATTAAGTGATTTGTCCAAGATCAGAAAACAAGTCGGCAACAGAGCTGGGAAGAGAATCCACCAATCCTGATTCACAATCCTGACCCATTTCTTTTGAATCCCAATTGCCTCCTTCTAATTCTAACAGCCAAGATGTTTTTGTTGGACACATACATCAGGTGCATTGACCTGCACAATCACCAATAACTAGCATCACACATTGTCCAGTTCAATGCTCCAGGATCCCAGAGCCTTTTTTATTTTATTTTGCCACACTGACCATACGAGAAGTTCAGTTAATGGACATATGCCTGATACTGCCCCAATTATGCTCATGGGCACTTTACCAATAGCTTCAGTAAGGGCAGAATCAAGCCATATTTGCTTATCTTGCCACACTGACCATACGAGAAGTTCAGTTAATGGACATATGCCTGATACTGCCCCAATTATGCTCATGGGCACTTTACCAATAGCTTCAGTAAGGGCAGAATCAAGCCATATTTGCTGAAAATAAATCTAACCTGTTTGAGGTCCATAAAAGAGAAATCACAATAAACAGCGAGCTGTGACTTGGGAAAATCCAAGTTTCACTTTTTTTTATTTTTCATTCAAAAAGGCCCTACAAAATATTATAAGATCTCATTAGATATATTTTTGATAAGCAGTGAGCTAAAATCTCGGCCTCTCTCTGATATCTCCTTGTGGACATGTAGCTGTCAAATCAAGCTCACCATAGCTAAACCAGTTCTTAATCTCCCCCTCCCAAATCCTGCCAGCTACTGTCTTTCAACAG